AGTAGAAGGAAATGAATATGGCAGTTCAAGATGTAAAAGTTGAAATGGATATTAAACAAACCTAAACCGAGGGAAATCTAGAAATGAAATATTTAGGAACTCAAACAGGAAACTCAGAGGCAAGCTCACCAACAGAAAATATACAAGATGGAAGAGAGAATCTCAGTATTCAAGACACAATAAGAGAAATGCATACCTAGTCAAAAGAATGTTAAATCTAAAAAACAAAAACAACAACAACAACAAAACCACCTCTTAACACAAATCCTCCAGAAAATCTTGGACACTGTTAAAATATAAATTTTAAGAATAATATGAATAGAAGAGGAAGAAACCCAGATCAAAGGCACAGAAAGCATTTTCACCAAGATCATACAAGAGAATTCCTCTAACCTAAAGGAGGTGATGCCTATCAAAGTATACAAAGCACACAGAACACAAAATAGACTGGACCAGAAAATAAAGTTCTCCAGGCACAAAATACTCAAAATACTAAATGTACAGAATGAAGAAAGAATAATAAAATCTGCAAGGAAAAAAGACCAAGTAACATATAAATGCCAACATAGTAAAATACCACCTTACTTTTCAATGAAGAATCTAAAAACTAGAAGGGCCTGACCAAACATTCTAAGAAAACACAGATGTCAGCCTAGAATTCTATTCCCACCAACACATTCATTTACAATAGATGGAGAAAAGGTGACATTCCAGAATAAAACAAAATTGAAGCAATATCCGTCTACAAATCCAGCCCTGGGAAAGATTCTACGAGGAAAAACTACAACATAAAGAGGTTAATCACACCCATGGAAACACAGGAATAAATTATATCTGACCAGCAAATCAAAAGAGGTAAACAAGAACGCACACACACACCAACACCACCAACAACAAAATAAACAGACTCAACAAACACTGTTCATTGAAATCTAACAACACTGATGTTTTCAATTCCCAAATAAAAAGACACAGACTAATCGAGTGGATGTAAAAACAGGATTCATCCTTCTGATACATCCAAAAAAACACACCTTAACATCACGGATAGGCAACACTTCAGGGTAACAGGATGGAAAGGTTATTCCAAGTAAGCTTGTATAACCACTTTATAATCTGACAAAATAGTTCTCAAAGCAAAATTAACCAAAAAAGGGACGACTACTACATGCTCATCAAAGAAAACCCACTAAGAGGATATTCCAAGTCTAAACATACATGCACCAAACACTGGGGACCCAAGTCTGTACAAGGAACAATACTACAACCTCCCTGTCCTCCTGGCAACCCCAGCAGCGGGGCACCTTGCCTCATCCTCTAAGCATTCTGTACCACCCCACCAACCCTAAGGAGGAGAGAGGCTAGTGGGGAAAGGGGGCACAGACCGTGGTAACCAGACAGCAGGTTCTGTGGAACCTTGAGTGAGCCCTCATATGTTTTGGCTAAGTAAAGTTGCCTCCGTGAGAAGCTGCTTGTACTTTTCTGCTATATAAGTGATGGTTTTACCATTATTAAATTGACACCTCGATCAGAATGTAGACTTGGTGTCCTTTGTGTCGCCCTGTCTCTCTCCCCCCAGCCTTCATTCAGGTGGTGTTCTGGTGTCACTGCATGCTGGTGATAGATGGAGCCAAAATCCGGGAACCTGAGACAGAGGAGAAGCTGAGGCAAGTTATACAGACCACTGGAGCGTGCGGGAAGCAACTGACTAAGGTAGAGTTGGGTGGCCGTCAGGGACAGGGAACTAGAAGGATGGGATTTATCAGATCCCTCAAATAGGTTCTTAAGACACAAAGAATTAGGATAAACTCCCTAATCCCTTTACTTTTTAAAACTAAAGAGTTGCTCGGGAAAATTAAAGCTACTAAACAAGCAGAAAAAAAAAAAAAGTATTTCTAAGGTTATTTGAAATGTTCATAAAGGAGCTCAAACAGATTTGTGTAATTTCAGAGCAGAAAATAATCTAGGAGCTACATAGTGAGGATGAAACCCAGAGAAAAAAGCTGCCAAGTCTCATAATTCAGACTGGCCTCCTGTGCCCTCTGCCCTTGTGGCTTTCCATTCTACATGTGCAGGTAGCACGAGATAACTGTAGAAAGATATTGCTGTTCTCCAACAGAAAATCCAAATAAAAAGAGAACTGGTTCAGTTATTTAAAAAATTGGAAAAGTTAAATATTAATAATAATAGTGATGATAATAATAAATAATAATAATGATGATGATAATTTTTTAAATTTTTTTATTTTTTACTATTAATTACACTTTATTCATTTTGTATTTCCCCATAAGCTCCTCCCTCCTCCCCTCCTGATTCCACCCTCCCTCCCCCTTCCTCATGCATGCCCCTCCCCAAGTCCACTGATAGGGGAGGACCTCTTCTCCTTCCTTCTGATGTTATTCTATCAGATCACATCAGGAGTGGCTGCATTGTCATCTTCTGTGGCCTGGTAAGGCTGCTCCCCCCTCAGGGGGAGGTGATAAAAGAGCAGGCCAATCAGATTATGTCAGAGGCAGTCCCTCTTCCCTTTACTATGTAACCCACTTGGACACTGAACTATCATGTGCTACATCTGTGCAGGGGTTCTAGGTTATCTCCATGAATAGTCCTTGGTTGGAGTATGAGTCTCTGGGAAGTTCCCTGTGTTCAGATTTTCTGGTTCTGAGGTTGGGGCTCTGTGCCCCAGTACCCAAGCAGTAATCTGTGGCGGGTGAGTACTGCTCTCCTGGTAACAGCAGGCTATCTGGTGCACAGTAAGTCCCTGGGTTGGGCCAGTCTGTGGGACCTTTTCTGGGGATATACTGGGTGGCCTAAGTCCGTCCCCTTTGCTTAGTTCCCTGTGAGGATTTCTCCAGACAGTGACTCCAAATCTCTTGATGTCCTGGGCACACAGTTCTGTCTGTGAGGAATAGTTGGTACAAAGCAGGTCTCTGGGCTGGCGGCACACGTGCCTGCCTGCTAGTCTGCAGGAGCTGGGTGCCCAACTACTCTTTGTGCTTCTGGCCTGGGGCCAGTTCAGTGATGGGGCTCATACCCGCCAGTCTGTGAGAGACTTTCCCCAGGTAAAGCCTGGGCGGCCCAAGTCAGTACTGTTTCCTTTCTTTCCTGTGGGGGCCTCTCCCGACAGGAACTCCCAGACTGTGTTGCACTAGGGCATGCATCTCTGTCTGTGCAAGAGAGCTGGGTGCGCAGCCCCTCTCTGTGCTGGCGCTGGTGGCGGGAGCCCAGTTCAGTGATGGGGCTCATATCCGCCGGTCTGTGAGAGACTTTCCCCGGGGAAAACCTGGGTGTCCCAAGTCAGCATTGTTTCCTTCCTTCCCTGTGGGGCCCTCTCCCAACAGGAACTCCCTGTCTCTGTTGCACTAGGGCGTGCAGCTCCGTCTGTGCTAGAGAGCTGGCATGCAACACCTGTCTGTGCTGGCGGCAGGAGGCCAGTTCAGTGATGGCGGCTCAGACCGGCAGTCTGCGAGACTTTTTCCAGGGAAAGACTGGGTGACCCGTGGCCAGTCCCACTGCTTTCCTTCCCTGTGGGTTTTTCTCGTGACTGGGACTCCCAGTCTCTGGTGTTTTTGTGACCACCGATCAGCCTGGGAAGGTGATCAGGACACGCAGGCTTGTGGCGTTGGTCTGGGGACCTAGTGCCTGCGTGACCCGGGATCTCTTCTGGGTTCTGGCTGGGTGGCCTGAGCGTGGACCCGCCTGATTCCCACCCCGTGGGGGTTTCCTCTCACCTGGGAAACATGATCGCTGTTGTTTTAGGGCCCAGAGTTTAGTCTTTTGGTCGCTGTATGGAAAATGTTGTCCTGCTTCTTAGATGCAGTGTTCTCCTGGTGCCGCCATCTTGGCCTCCGATAATGATAATTTTAATGTAACACAAAAAGGGTATTCACTCAGAGTGGACTTCCTTTTGTGTTGGGAGCCGCACCTCTGGCAGCTGCTTTGATATTTAAATCTCAGTGTAGAGACTGCATTTACCAGGCCTTCACTAAGTCAGGGAAGAATTTGCAAGTCCATCTCCATTTGTTTGTGACAGCAGGTGGGATAGCTTGTAAAGATCACACCTCTTCCTCAGGCTCCTCATGGAAATTAACCCATTGTTCTGAGATATTTCTAGTCTGGCTTAAAAACTCTACAATAAAAAGACAGGCTGGCAGTTGCTGCTAAGTGGCTGCTAGGGCTGTTGCTGCAGAGGCTTGCAGCTTGCAGCTTGCTGCTGTGGCTGTTGAGTCCGGACCTTCTTAAAAAGCCTCCTGTGTGCTGTGTGCTTTTTTATTAATTTTAATCCTCACTCCCAACTCAAGAACCATTCGACTCTGCTGGCTGGCTCCGGCACTTTTGTGCAGCAGTTGGCTTTTGAAAATATTAATTCTGCCTGTAAAACAGCTATCAGACCCTATCGACCTAAAGCAAATTTAACTGGTTACATTAAACTTTGAGCTGATATTGGGCCACTCTTTACTATCATGCTTAAATTTACAGCTGAAGCCAGTAAAAGAGTTTTATCTCTGTGTTTAAATATATAGCCATTATATGTTTGTTTTTGACTGATCTTAAATGGTTAATATGCTTTGTATGTCCAGGTTAAAGATCAAAATTAATTGGATATATTTTAAAGTTATATTCAAACTCTTGTTTAGAATCTCTCTCTCTCTCTCTCTCTATATATATATATGCATATGTATTTATAGACTTTATAAACACATATGTTTAAAAGGCAACCATATGATATGAATCTGTCATCTTTGCCACATAGTATGGGTTAAAGAAAGAAAAAAAATTATAAAACCTTTTAGTTAACATAAATTTTGTTTCCTTTTAGACTGAGAAGACAAGTCTCATTTTAAATTAGTATTGGTTTTGGAAGTTAAATTGTTTGCACTGGTAAATTTTAAAGTCTGGTTTTGATTTTTAAAATTATAAATGTGCTTTATGATTTCACTCCTAAAGAGGATGCTTTGCTTTAATATTGCAAAAACAGGTTTTAAAAAATATTTAAATGTTTAAGGAGCAGGTACCCTGGTTGTTCTTGTCCTTGTCTCTGTTTTTGCTTTTGTCTGCTGGCTGTCTGTTCTGGTTTCTCGTTCCTGTTTGCTTGCGAGGTCTGGGGAAATGAGTGCATGCCCACACTGCACACACACATACGGTTTCTCTCCAGTGTGAATTCGTTCGTGATTGTAACAAGCCCTGTGTTGGATGAAGGCCTTCCCACACTGCTTACATGAATAAGGTTTCTCTCCAGTGTGGATTCGTTCATGTTTGTGAAGGTACGTGGAACACGTAAAGGCCTTCCCACACTGCTTACAAACATAGGGTTTCTCTCCCGTGTGAATCCGTTCATGAATGTAGCAGGCACTGGAGTAGGTGAAGGCTTTCCCGCAATGTTTACACGAGTAAGGCTTCTCTCCAGTGTGAATTCTTTCGTGGATCAGAAGCTGGGAAGAACGAATGAAGGCTTTCCCACACTGTTTACTGACCCATCCTGCAGGTCTGTCTACAGAGACCCTGAATGGGGGAGTGGGAATGGAAAGGGACAAGAGAAATGAAGACCAAGACAGTTTCTCTGATCAAGGTCTCAGTTTATTCAATTTTTCATACAACTTTATAGGCAGGGTGGAGGAATGCAGTTGCCTTTGGCAGAGTTACTAAGTGACTAGGAATTACAGGATAGCCCACCAGAAGAGTCACAAGATGCACTAATAATGGTTGTTTGGAAAGTTCCTCAGAAGTGTTACTTGGGAAACCCTGAGGGGGAAGAGGGTTTAAGGTGTTTCAGGAAGATGACCTTTATCGAAAGCCCCAGGTCAGCCAGGAATGCACTATTGTATCCAAGCAGTAGGCCATTAAGCCAGGTCAGGCCGGATGCCAAAAATTCAGGGGGCAGCAAGGGCCAGAAGGCTCCCCACAGTTTACAAATGTAGTGCTTCTCTTCAGTGTGAGTTCTCTCATGATTGTTGTGGGTGGTGGGATCGCTGAAGGCTTTCCCACAATGCTTACATAAATAAGGTTTCTCCCCAGTGTGGATTCGTTCATGTTTGCGAAGGTGTGAAGAACATCCAAATACTTACCCACACTGCTTACATGCATAAAGTTTCTCTCGGGTATGACTTCTTTCATGTTGGAGAAGATGGTAAGAACGAATACATGCTTTGCCACATTGTTTACATAAATAAGGTCTGTTTCCTCATGATTAAAACAGGAGAGTTTCCAATCTGGTCGAGGGAATCTGGAGGATGCTCCAATTCCCGGGGAGTGGGCCAAGAGAGGGCCCCAGGGGCCCACAAGGGCTCTACTCCTTTTGGGACCAGGGGAGGTCCCAACTCTGCTCCACCTGAAGGGAGGGTCTCTGGGACCCTGCTCTGTATGGAGAGAGGGCTGCTGGAGCCTGCTCTCCACCTGGAAGCTGTGGAGAGGGCCATGGGGACTCTGCTCCTTCTGGAATCTGTGTTGGGGGGTATGAGGGGTTCCACTCCTTCTGGAGTCTGTGGGACTTGTGTGAGGTTGGAGCCGGTCAAGTCTTGGCATCTGGGTATTCTGGTTACTCTGATAGTGGCAATGTTGGATTTTTGTGTTTCTTATGTATGTCTGTGTGTATTCGTTTCTCTGTGGACTTGGACTGATAAAATTTTTGGGCATGAGACAGTTTGGATCAACACCTCTGAGTTTGGTCCTGAACCATTAGAGTTAAATTCTTTAAAACACTTTAAAATTTATTAGGTATTTTAAAATAATAACTCTTGGGCAATCTGACAAAGAACTTAAAACAATTTCTCAACCCTTTGGGGAAAGTAAAAAAAAAAACAAAACTTAGTATTTATTTTATTAATTTATTAATTTGCCAAATGAAATCAAGCCATGCTGTTTGAGCCAATTAAAAAATCTGCAGTTATTACAATGTATCGTGTCAGGATGGTAAAGACCCATAAAATAATTTAGTATATTCTAGACCACTAAAAAAAAAAAAACCACAAAAAGGATTCTAATGAAAGTTTTCATGTTGTCTGAAAAGCAAAAAAGAAGGCATTAAGAATAAAATAATAAAAAAAAGAATAAATAAAAAAATAGCTTCTCTAAAATAAAAATGTCTGGTTAAACCAAAAGAACAAAGCTAAAAACCTAAAGGTATATAAAATGCTCTGAAAGGTCAATGTATGTATAGAAAGCCTGAGGGCATTTATGGTTTGAGAAAAAAACTGTAAAATATGTTGTTCTTCATTTAAAAGGCCGGTGATTCTTCATTGAAAAATGAAGAAAAAGACTGCAGTTCCATGTTAGCCCAGGGTTATGCAGGGTTATATTCAGATCATTGTTAACCATTATATAAATTATATGCCTGGCTGCCAGTGCCTAAATAAACAAATTAATGCTGTTTCTTTCTGGCCTATAGATTTGGTATGTCCAAAATAGTCTTTACTGAGGGCTACAAGCTAAGTTTAGTTCTCTGTTTAATGCTAAATGAAACTTTTGTCCTTTAATCTTTTGGCTGTTAAGTCTTAATGCAATATGATTAATAGGATTAATAAGATTTGCTAGCCCCTTTATGAACTGTGTCTGATTAAAAGTTTTGCTTTGATTTTAGATCAGAAAGAGCAGGTTTAAAGTTATGCTAAAGACTGCAATTGAGTGTAAGATTGAGCTTTACCTAGACTCTTTGTTTAGGTTTTTTTTTTTTTTAAGGCTAAGCCTAGGATGGATAACCATGAAGTTTGCCTATATAGATCTACTTAAAATTTGGTTCTAAAACATGCATCTAAGAAATACACCAAAATTAGAGATTCTAGCATCCTGTTTTATAGTATGCAGTTTAGACCAGATGATAATGATAGACAAAGAGTAACTCAGATATGCTGTCCCTCAGACTTGTCAGAGATCTGATAAATATGACACTTTAACATATATAAGCTTATGACAGAGTACCACCTGTTGAGGCACAAGGAAACAATGGAACTAAAAGGCTAAGGTATTTTTAATACGGGTCACTAAACAACCAGAACCCTATTCAGATAAAATTAACTAAAAATCTGATGATCCTGTATGGGTTGATCAGTGGCCCCTTAATTCTAAAAAATTGCAGGCTGCACATGATTTGTTTAAAGAGAAGCTCCAGGGAGGGCATATAGTTTCCTGTAACTCACTGTGGTACATGCCCATTTTTGTAATTTAAAAGAAATCTGGCAAATTTAGATTATTACAAGATTTAAGAAAGGTAAATGAGACTATGATAATTATGGGAGCATTGCAACCAGGACTCCCATCACCTAGTGGGATTCCTCAAAACACAAGATTATTTTAGATTTAAAAGATTGCTTTTTTCCATTTCTTTGCGTCCTTTGCCATAGATGTGCTTTTAGTCTCCCTTCTATTAATTTTTTAAAAACCTATAAAACGTTATCACTGAAAAATGTTGCCACAGGGCATGGCAAATAGTCCTACTTTATGTCAACAATTTGTAGCTAATGCTATTTGTCCTGTATGAAAAAAAAATGACCTTCTATTTATATCATTCATTATATGAATGATATTTTATTAGCCTCTCCTGTAGCTCAAGATGTTATGGCTTAATATACAGATCTATTTGAGGCTTTGTCCCAAGTAGGATTTAAAATTGCTCCAGAGAAGGTACAAACTAGAGATCCTTATAGCTATTTAGGTTTTAATTTATTTCTCCTGGCTATTAAACATCAAAAAGTTCAAATTAGAAAAGATAATTTAAAGACCATTAATGACTTTCAAAAATTATTGGGAGATATATAAATTGGCTTAGGCCATATTAAAATTAACCACTGGACAACTTATGCCATTGTTTAATATTTTTAAAGGGGATGCAGCTCCAACCTCCTCTCGAAAATTGACTCCAGAGGCTCGAGATGCATTATTGCTAGTGGAAAAGGCTTTAGAAAATCATTTTGTAACATATTGGGATCCAGATACTCCACTCCTATTACTTGTATTTCAAACCCAGTCAATTCCTACTGGATTGTTATGACAATCTAATTCTCTATTGTGAGTCCACTTGTCAGCTAGTCCCAATAAAGTAATTCTGCCTTATTATGAGGCCCAAGTCATTGTGGCAGGACGCAGCCAGGCACTGGCTTACTTTGGAATTGAGCCTTCCAAGATTATTATACCATAGAGTAAAGCTCAGACTGATTGGCTTTACACTAATTCAAATGAATGGTTGCTTTCTTTGACTGGATTTACAGGATAACTAGATAATAATTACCCTTCCAATAAGATTATTCAATTTTTTACTTTACATAGTGTTGTTTTTCCTACCATCATTAAAAATAAACCTTTAAAAAATGCTTGTTTTATTTTTTTTAATGGTAATGCTAAAGGAAAAGCTGGTTATACTGTTAATGGACAAAAAGTTATTTTTCAAGTTCCAGGGTTATCTGTTCAACTTGCAGATTAAAGTTAAAATCTATTCATGTAATTATTGATACCTGTACAAGATTTATTTTTGCTACCTTGCATTCTGAAGAAGCTGCATGCCACGTTATAGATCATTGTTTGGCTGCCTTCGCTGTTCTTGGCATGCCACACCAAATTAAGACTGATAATGGAAGAGCTTATACCAGCAATCTCTTTCAAATTTTTTATAAAAAATTAAATATTAAGCATGTAACAGGTATTCCTCATAATCCTTTGGGCCAAGGCATAGTTAAACATGGCCATGCTGCCATTAAGATGCATTTATAAAAGACAAAAAAGAGGGAATTATGCCCTCCTTGTTCATCCAGAGCTCAATTAAATCATGTACTTTTTATTTTGAATTTTTTAACTCTGGACAAATATGGCAAATCTGCAGCTGAACATTTTTGGCACCCTAAAACTCCATGGTTAAATGGAGGGACCCCTTGAATAATACATGGCATGGACCCAACCCCATTTTAATTTGGATATGTTTGTGGGTTTTTTGCAGGTTAAAGATGCTGCTCGATGGCTGCCAGTGAGACTGATGCAACAAGTGGATTACATCAAGGAACAAGATCATTCCCCAAGTGACGATATTGCTGATCCTGTTGCTGTCCCGACCCGCGGGACTTCAACGAGTTCCTAAAGAGGGGGGTGGAAGGAATGAGGGGGGACAAGAAACACAAGGAATGGAGGCTAAGTCTGTTTGTCTGATCAAAGCCTCATTTCCTAGAAATTTTTACCCAACTTATATAGGGAGAAGGCAAGAAAGGGGGAAGGCTAAATTACTGTTGCAGGAGATAGGAAGAGTGCTTTCATGGGTTGAATATTACACCTGCAAGATATCATAAGGATGTTTTCTTAAGATATCTCACAGATGCTCTAAAACTAACAGACAGATGTCCTCACAAATCTATCACCCATGATTTAGGGTCCTAGGTAACTCTTTCGCTAAATAGCTTTAGATCTCCACTAAATGACCTTTGTTCACTATTTGGCTTTGGCGTTAGTAAAAAGCTTTGGCTCCTGGCATGTTGCAGCTGATTCATGCAGTGAAAGCTGAATTACACCTTTGGGCCTTAGTGCCCAACCACTATCTTGTTGCTGGTCATTTATCTTTGTATTTGCCAGATGTGTCCACTTAGCTTAACAGCACCAAGCTAGATTTAATGACACCACGCACAAAGTCCTTTTGGCCATTGAACATCGGCATGCTGTAACTCCCTCGCCCCAGGTACGGGCTTGGCTTGCCCAAGTCAAACGTCAGCTTTAACCTCTCCTTTCCTGTGCAATGGGCCGGTTAGTCAATGACTGGTAAATGGGCGATTGGTTAGATATCAACCTAAGACAAGGAAATCCCCCTATAAGCAGAATTCTCCCATAACGGGTAAGATATCTACTGGGAATCACCCCCAACTAAGACAGGCACAGTTCCTTTAATTCAAAAGGGAGAAATTGTGGCAGCCTATTTGGAGTTAGTGGCAAATTGGAGTGTGCATCTGAGCAGTGGAATTCGACCTCCTGGCCCTGGCTATAATCTAAAGTTTGCTGTCTCAGAGACTGACCCCGGCAATTCTACAGAAGAGGGCTCTGACCCTGAGAAACTCCATTCAACCATGGTAACCAGACAGCAGGTCCTGTGTAACCTTGAGTGAGCCCTCATATGTTTTGGCTTACTGTTGCCTCCGTGAGAAGCTACGTGTACTTTTCTGCTATATAAGTGATGGTTATACCATTATTAAATTGACACCTTGATCAGAATGTAGACTTGGTGTCCTTCTTTGTGTTTCCCTGTCTCTTTCCCCCCAGCCTTCACTCAGGTGGTATCCAGGCATCACTGCAGGCCGGTGATAAGACCCCATTACTTCTTCCAGCTGCTGAGGGTTAATGGGTTCTTTTAGGGATATCTATACCAAACTCAGTCAACAGCAAACGCAGCTAGCCGTCTCCTCCAAGCTGCTGTGCCCCAAAGATTTCTTTCATCTGTCTGTTCCAAACTGTCATACCATCCATCTCTGGTCTCTTCAAACTGCCATTCGACACATGCCACCATCGCACACCACACTTTTTCTTTTTAAAGGTTTATTTATTCTTATTATGTATACAATATTGTGCCTACATGTATGCCTGCCCGCCAGAAGAGAAAACCAAATCTCATTCTAGATGGTTGTGAATCACCATGTGAAGGCTAGGAATTGAACTCAGGACCTCTGGAAGAGCATCCAGTGCTCTTAACCTCTGAGTCATCTCTCCAGCGCCAGCATGTTTTCTTTCTGGGCTCTCATATTTATATCCTCAGACCCCTAGACCATGTTCCTCTCCATGCCATATGTGGCAAGCCTTTAACATCTGTCAAAGCCCAACTAAAATCTCACACTTGGGATTAAAACAAAACAGATTTACATAACATAACTGAGTTTACAAAGAAACCAAAGCTTCCATTAGACTTCCCAGATCAAAGGCTCAGAAAATATTTTCAAAAAATTATAGAAGAAATTTTCCCTAACCTAAAGAAAGAGATGCTTATAAATGTACAAAAAGCTTACAGAATAACAAATACGTTGGGCCAGAAAAGAAAATTCTCCCACTATATAATAATCAAAACACTAAATATACAGAACAAAGAAAGAATACTGAAAGCCCCAAAGGAAAAAGGCCAAGTAACACATAAAGGCAGAATTACACCAGACTTCTCAACAGAAACTTTCACAGCCAGAAAGGCCTGGGCACATGTCTTACATTCTCTAAGAAACCAGATACCAACCCAGACTTATATCCAGCAAAATTAAAGACGTTCTAGAATTCACTGAAAATGCAGACACACCATACCCAAACTTATGGGGCACAATAAAAGCAGTGCTAAGAGTGCTGTCACAAAGAATGTGGAGAGATATCATACATGCAACTTAAAAGCTCACCTGAAAGCTCTACTACAAAAGGAAGCAAGATGGAGGAGTAGATGAACAGAAACAGTCAAACTCAGGGCTGAAATCAATAAATTAAAAACAAAGAGAACAGTACAAAGAATAAACAAAACCAAGAGCTGGTTCTTTGAGAAAATCAGTAAGATAGACAACCCTTAGCCAAACTAAATAAAAGGCAGAGAGACAGAATCCAGATTAACAATATCAGAAATGAAAAGGGGGTCATACCTACAGATGCTGAAGAAATCTGAGGAATCATTAGGTCTTACTTTAAAAACCTGCACTCTACAACATTCAAAAATTTAAATGAACTAGATGATTTTCTTGATAGATACCATTTACCAAAGTTAAATCAAGATCAGGTAAACAATTTCAATAGGCCTATAACCCCTAAGGAAACAGTAGGAGTCCTCAAAAGTCTTTCAACCAAAAACACAAAAGCCTTGGACCAGATTGTTGGCCTTCCTGATTGGGTGAGGTGTCCAGGAAACCCCACCTCCAAGACCTGAGAAAGTATCCCAGCTCTGAGGCAGAGGCAGCACCCCAAGGGAAGGGTCTCCTGAGATTCAAAGCCCAGGAACCCCACACTGCGAGGTTGGACAGTGTCTATCCTCAGGCACGGAGCCCAGGAACCACACAGCTCTGCTCCTTCTTCAATTCTTTTCTTTTGGGCTTCTTGGCTTCTAATAAGAGTCACACCAGCAGTAAATGTCTTAAAAGGGATTTATTGGAGAGACAAATCCAGATGAGGAGGGGTGAATCCAGGAGTGGCTGCCTCTGCTTCCAGGTGAGGACAGCACAGAACGGGAAAAACAGCCTTTATATAGGATTTTTAGGGGGCAGAGCTTCTTAGGGCAAAGATTTCCAGAGTGAGGATTGGTGGGGTTTTGTTCAGCCTTTTCATCTAAAATTGGTGTGAATATGAAAGGGGTCCGGCTGAGGGGCTGGAGTGGGCATTATAACAGTTACAGGCCAGAACTGCCAGTTTGAAAGAGGGGTGTGGGGGAGGGGCCTATTAACTCATACCTAAGGGGTTACACAGACTTGAACTCTAAACTAAACAAAAACAACTTTCCTTAACTCAACTATGAACTTATACTAAAAGGTCAGGTTTCTAGTTCTGGTCCCTGACTGGCTCCCTGCTTCAGAGGAATGGCTAGTTTATACATTGTTGCCATAGAGATGGCTTCCAAGCTCGCAGAAAGCGCCAGTTAAACATGTCTCCCTCTCCTGAGTTCCCAGCAGCAGCAGTAACTGAGGCCTCAGGTGCTGCTTTCTCTGTGGATTCAGCTTCTCAGGTTCTCCAAGCGTCTGATCTCAGGTCCCAGGGCTGTGGAGATTTAGCCTCCGCTGCTCTTGAGTCCTGAGGTGTTGCTGTATGGAGGTGTAAAGAGGTCAGCAGCACAGCCTGAAGATCCCGGCACCCCTCTCAGGGACCACGGAGGGTTGCACACAGAGGAGCCAAAGAGGTGAAGAGGAAGTGTTAGTATTCAGGCAGCCTGCTTAGGGGTTGCCTAGCAACCTATGATGTCATCATGTGTCGCCTGCCAGGTAGCCACCAGCGTGGTTAAGTTGCTCCTTAAAAGTCTCAACTGCCACATTGTCACTTTCTTGTCCTCTTACTCTCTTGCTTTTCCCCTTTCTCTAACAGGGCTTTCCCCCTTCCCCACATCATGTCTCACTCTCCTTTCTCTCTCTTCATCTCCATCTAACAAACCTCTTTCATATAAAATCTGTTATGTGCATCATCATTTCATTGGTCATAACATTGGTGCGTTGGCCAGGAAGGGCTTTCCTGGTAGCACCTGGTCTGCTCATGCCAGGAACCCTTTAATCAGACCATGATGCCTGCAACAGATGTTTTTTGTTTCTGATCCACCTATCCCTAACCACCACTCAACCACCTCTGCCTTAAAACCTACACTGTCAACTGCCCTGCCCTTACCGTGCACACCTGTCCCTCTGCTCACAGCTGCTCAGACTCCATGTCCTGCCATGTGCTCCAAGCACGGGAGACATGGCAGACACTCACACTGCCAAAATCGGCTTGGGGAAACTAAAACACTCAAGCCAGACGCTGAAACTGCCGCTTCATACACAGACACAGCCTGCTTCTACCCTATTGCTGTTAGGTAAGCAATTGTTGGGGACCCTGTGCACAGATGGCTTTAGATTGTGCTGCTGCCTCAGGCCCCACGGGTGAAGTTTTTAATCTCCCACCAAACGCCTGCTGTGAGAGGCTGGCTTGCAGAGAAGGGCTTTCAGTTGTGCAGACTTCGATCAGCTGTGCCACGAGTGTGCAGAGGGTTACAAACCAGGCCAGGACAGCCATCCCACCAGCAAGCACCTGGTCTCCCTGTGCTGCTATGGCCACCATGTTGATTCTGGAATAAGGAGGATGGAGACACGGCTTCACTGCCATCTCCACTAAGGCCAAGAACATGGTTTCACCACCATCTTAACTTAGGGCAATCAAGGGCAGTCACATGATTGGCAGCCATCTTGGTTATTAAAAACAAAAACAAAAACCAAAACACTGTAGTTTCCCCCACTGTCCCACTGTTTTCGGAGCTGCAAAACTGCAGTCTCTTGTAGACCCTAAAAGGCCACTGTGCCCCTTCTTACCTCTATTCTAAAGCTGCCTATCTGCCCCTATCCTTTCCTGGGGATAAGATTCCCTCTAGGAGAACTTACTGCTGATAAAGCCCTGGTACCAGGCACCAAGGTTCTCAGGCTTAGCCAGGCTAAGCCCAAGACCTGCCGAGCTATTTGGTTGACAAACCACTAGCCACATGGTCCATTTCCATTTCCCTTTCTCATTCACAGGAACAGCTTCCTTATATTCTCTCCTCTTATGGAAACCTCTGGCTTCTACACCTACATTTGCCCTACTCAAATGTCAGGAAACCTCTGGCTTCTACACCTACATTTGCCCTACTCAAATGTCAAATATCCAGTAATATCCAGTAACACTAACAGTGATCCATGAAGTAAAAAACAATTCTCTATTTCTCTTTTCTCAAAGTCTTGTCTGTTTCTCTCTGCCTGCTATCTCGCGAAATATACTCTCTGGTTTCTTTTTATACTCTCAAAAAAACAAAACAAACAAACAAAAAAAACTTAAAATTAAACTGTAAACCTTAAGGTGACCATGTGGTACGAAAAATTTTAATCATAATTAATTCTTTGTATATTTTATCTCCTTTTACACAAGGACAGCAACAAGTCTCATTTTAAATTGGTATGGATTTTTATAAAACTTCAAAGTTATATTTTATAATATATATGATTCAACCCTGCTTCAAAATAATTTTTATATAATGTTAAAATTTCAAAGTTATGAAAGTCTACTCAAATTAAGCTAATTTAAAATGTACTTCTAACTGCCTATGCCTTTATCAGTTCCTAAATTAATAAAGACTGTTTCTCCTGCCGTGAGCTGCCTGTGATCCGGATTCACCAGTAGGCTTTCTGGCTAATAGTTTTGCTATAATAAATTCAATGTAATTTTAAACTTGCTTTATACTGTTCTACTATATTGTTGATTTTAAAACCCAACACTCAGGGACTGCTACATACAAGTTTTACCAATACTCTAAATTAAGATCTATTAATTTTAAAAGCATTTTATTTATGTTAAAACTTGATCCTTGTGCTATATCTTCACTATCAAAAGGTTAAAATATGCTTGGTCTTGTTTTCTAAAAATGGTAATATTATTAATCTATAGTATAGCCTTAGACTTGTATAAGCTATAAACTTTTTATATACTAAATCATACAGAAAACTGTTATGCTCTCGCTTTAATGGACTATATGACTGTTAAGGCTCCAACTTAACAGAGACAAAACTCAAAGTCCTAATATTTAATGGTTAACAAATACAAGTTAATATAGTCAGTCATCTCATAGATGATCAAGTCTTTTAATATGTTCAAAAACATATTTATAGTCCTGCAGAGGCAGACATGGTCTCGCTGCTTACTTAACTAAACAGCTGAGGATGGTCCCTGGGTCACCGTACAGGAGTTGGTAAAAATAATAAGAGAGGAGTCTTCCTGACAAGCTCACCTACAGCAAAAAACTAGGCTTCAGACCTTGGCTGCTGCTCTGAGGCTGTTGGCATTCCACACAGAAAGCAAGAGGTCTGCAGTGCTCCATCCCACCGGGGTATGGCCAAGAGTCAACTCCACCAGGTGACTGTTTCAAATGCAGCCAAAGGGGATGCTGGTCCCGCTGCTGCCTCAACAAGCCACACACTTCCTGCCGGCAGACTGGCCTCTGGAAGTCAAAATGCTCCCATGCAGGCTTGTTCTCTGTGCCCAGCCATGGCGGTTCAGCCAGCACAAGAGCCACAGACACTTCTAGCCTTCAAGCTCCTTGGCCTGGTGGAGGACAAATAGGTCCTAGATTCAGTGACTTCTACAACCCTTGTGCAGCCCAGGTAACAGCAGGTCTGTTTTGGCCTCACACTTGGGTCCCACGGACATATTGCCAACTTCTATCTTGGGAGACTTCAGATGCCTTCTCAGTTCTCTTCATATGCAGGAGACCAGGCCTTAAGCCTGGGTCCTAGAGTTGCTATTGTCAAGTCTAGACACAATATGCCTTGTTGCCAGACTCAAGAAACAGGCCTCAGATGTAACCTTTTACCATCCCTTTAGCTAAAGGACAATAAATGTTCACAGCAGTCTCACCTATGTCTCATGGTAAATAACTAGATACAAAGGCCTAAGAAAATGTTTGAGAGGCTAAGAAACTGTTTAAAGGTTAGTAAACACAAGTTATAGATGTTTGAGGGTCTAAGAAAGTGTTTTAAGATTGAGCATCCACAAATTACATACCCTGATGGTGTTAGGCCCAGCATGAGCCTAATTTCCAGAAGGGATGAAGAGAACTTAGGAGACCAGATCTCATCGATTCAAAATCACAAGAGGTTTATTTTAACCATCATGCAATGGTGTCACCCCTGCCGGTCAACAAAGGGTGGCACTGGGAGACAAAGGCCTTGGGTTTTTAAAGGACATGGCACGGGAATTTTGAGGGGTTGCAGTCTTGGCAATTCAGGATTGGATGAGGAAGCTATAAAGTAAGATAATTGGTTAGTCTTGGGTGCTCAAGCTTGGCCAGTCCTGCCAAGTGTGGATGCAGCTGCAATTAAAGGTGGGAGTGATTAGCTCATCCTTGAAGATTGGGGCAGCGGGCTTTTGGCCGGAGGTCAGGGGCTACTCACAAGAAGGACTGAGGCCATCTGAGTTGGTTGCTAAGAAACAGTATCTCGAAGACAAGGGTCTAGTCATTCTTTTTGCTGAGTGAAGGTCATTACTTGCTTGCTTTTTTATCTCTGTCCTCACAGATGGCCAGGGTCACATTCCTCCATTCCCTGGAAAGGTACTAAGAGGCTTTAGCTTAATCTGAGCCTAGAACTCAAAACTATAGGCTTTAGAAGATATATAGGTTACAAAGTTAGTCTGTTCCTTTCAATGGAAATATTTTACAAGTATAAATGTATATTGTTTGATTTTTCCCTTTTTAATTTATATTTTTTACTGCTTTTGGTGGCTTATCTTAGCATAGATTTCTACACTATGTATTTTTAGTTCTGTTTAAAATTTTTATTTATATGTGTGCTGTATGTGTTTTTGTGCATGTGCATTTGGATGTCGACATGGGCTAGAAAAGGGTGTCGGTTGCCTTGAAACTGGAGTCACAGACAGTCTGTGAGCCAACCTTGAGTGTTGGGTATTGAACTTAGTTCCTCTGAAAGAACTATAAATTTTTTTAGTTACTGAGCCATGTTTGCAAGCCCATATTTCATTCTTTAAATTACACATTGATATTAAATCTCCAAGTTTAGCATATAAATTTAATAGACAATTATTTTATTTTTGAGACAGAACTTTGCTATGTCAACAAAATTGATCTCAAATTCACTGTGCTGTTGAGGCTGGCCTCAAACTATACCAATTTTGCTTCAGTTTCCAATGGCACATGTATATTTAACAATAAGTTAAAAAAATAATATTTTCTACTTTCATTTTGAGCCATATTAAAAAATTGATGAACTGAAATGTCTTCTGATATACCAGGAGGCTTAATTTGTATGTAGTTTTCAAATAACTGTGTTCAATTATTTAAAATCCAACATAGTAGTTTCCATTTGCTACATGAATTCCTTCGCAGTTGTACTGTCTAATTTGTTATGTTTGTGGTACAGAGAAGCTAACTCAGTAGGTAAATGCCCTTGCTCTGTATGCATGAGGATCTGGGTTCAAATCCCTAGCACTCATATAAAAAGCTGGGCAGGGATGTATGGACCAGTAGCCCCAGTGCTGGTGTGGGTGATGGGAAGTGGTAGGAAGGTAGCTGGGTTGTGAGAGCTCACTGACTAGATAGCCTAGCCAAAAAGGCAAACTTCTGGTTCAAGGAGAGGCCATTTCTCGAGGCAATAAAGCAAAGACCCAGAGAGGAAGATCTTTGGAGTATTGATCTGACTTATAGTATGTGTGCAGATACACCTACATTTTCACGTGTACCACACACAAATACACAACAGACACAAACAATACATATGTTTGTGCGCCCGGCGTACTGTTTGCTCTAATGTGAAGATCACTGGTTCTTAAGATTTTGCCTCCTTCCGTTCCTGTTTTTGTTTTTGTTTTTGTTTTTAGACAGGGTTTTTCTGTGTAGCCCTGACTGTCTTAGAACTCACTTGCTAGACTCAGATCTGTCTGCCTCTTCCTCCTGAGTGCTAGAATTAAAGGTGTGTACCACCAATCCCTGATTCACTCCCATTTCTTCAATGTGCTTTCTGAATGACAAAATCTCTCACTGCTCCCAGAGTTCATCAGTTCAGCTAGACTGTTCGGCCCAGAATCTTCGGAGGTTCACCTATCTCCTCTGTGTCATTGCTGAGGTTACAGGCCATATTGAATGCTGTCATTTCTTTTCTTTTCTTTTCTTTTTTGATTAATATTTTATTGAAAGTCAAAGTTACTCCATAACTTTCTAGAAAACAGCACAATAATCGATCAATGAGTACATGTTAAGAACAGAAAGCTAGCATAAGTGAGTCTATGCTTGCCATTTGCTTTGAAATTACAATTAGCTACTTCAGATCTGTGTACTCCAAGTTCTTTTTTTAATTAAATTTTTATATTAATTACAGTTTATTCCCTTTGTACCTAGCTGTAGCCCACTCCCTCATGCTCTCCCAATCTCACCCTACTTCCATCATCTCCCATGTCCCTCTCCAAGTCCACAGATAGGGGAGGTCCTTTTCCCCTTCCATCTGACCCTAGCTTATCGGGTCTCATCACGACAAGCTGCATTGTGCTCCTCTGAACACCAACAGCTCAGGCTCTAAGATCAACAATCAATAAATGGGACCTCATGAAACTGAAAAGCTTCTGTAAAGCAA